CTGTCTGTGTGTCTGTTTGTCTGTGAGTGTGTCTGTCTGTTTGTCTGTGAGTGTGTCTGTCTGTTTGTCTGTGAGTGTGTCTGTCTGTTTGTCTGTGAGTGTGTCTGTCTGTGTCTGTCTGTTTGTCTGTGTCTGTCTGTGTGTCTGTTTGTCTGAGTGTGTCTGTGTCTGTCTGTGTGTCTGTTTGTCTGTGAGTGTGTCTGTTTGTCTGTGAGTTTGTCTCTGTGTGTCTGTCTGTGAGTTTGTCTCTGTTTGTCTGTGAGTGTGTCTGTGTCTGTTTTTTTTTTTTTTTTTACTTTTATTTCTTTTTTTAATTTTTACATTTTTTTTGGACCGGATTTGCGATTTTTAAATTTGCAAAGTCAAGCAAATTTGCATTGCTCAATATTGTCAATAATGTGCAGCACAGTATGGGTATCATTACCCTGCTGAAAAAAACGATAGAAACTATCACAGTAATTCTTATAGTTTCCATTAAACCATTACAAAAGTCCTTTTTGTTTTGGGCATTATTCCAATAGGAATTACTGTTGTTCTATTGGTTGCCATCTGCCAGATTACATCCCACCAATAGAATCCATCAAAAATACACCATTATAGTTTACATTAAAACCAATACAATTCCCATTATAACCTGAAATCCATTATAATGGTATAACTACTTTTACAGAATTAACTTAATTACTGAATTTCACAGAAAATGTTAATTTTTTTATAAATAACGAACTGTATTAAGTCAATTATTAAAGAATTACATATGTTACATAGGCTGATTTATTCATTTTAAGTGTTTGGGATTTTAAGAACAAATGGAAAATGTGCTGAATGTTTCATTTCATCCAAGTGAAATTAGCAAGCAGTTAGACTGAATTTACATTCGTTTTAAACGCAGAGCCAGGTGCGAGCCGACACAGGTTTTAAGTGTTTGGGATTTTAAGAACAAATGGAAAATGTGCTGAATGTTTCATTTCATCCGAGTGAAATTAGCAAAGCAGTTAGACTGAATTTACATTCGTTTTAAACTCGGAGCGAGGCATGAGTCGACAGGTTGCGCGCGTGCGTCAAGCCTCGTCCATACTGCCAGATGCGCTCTTGAAGACTTGCGGAGCCGGGTGCGAGTATAAACGAGCATTACGAGACAGGCTGCGTGAGTGCGGCAAGCGTGAACGGCTCATCCGTGAGAGGAGCGAGTTTGAGAAGCATTCACAGACACAGGCTGTGTGTGCGCTCTTCTGAATTGGGAATAGCCAACATGCATCAAACTTATTCAAATTAATATGTTGGGGAGATAAAATGTGTAAGATAACGTTCACGTACTAACAAAAACATCTAAGAGTGTGTGTGTTGTGGATCAGTGTTTTATCTGTGTGTGTGTGTGTGTGTTGAGGATCAGTGTTTTATCATCTGTGTGTGTCTGTCTGTGTGTGTGTGTTGAGGATCAGTGTTTTATCATCTGTGTGTGTGTGTGTTGAGGATCAGTGTTTTATCATCTGTGTGTGTCTGTCTGTGTGTGTGTGTTGAGGATCAGTGTTTTATCATCAGTGTGTGTGTGTTGTACAGGAGTGAAGCTGTGTGACGCCTATAACACCGTCCTGGAGTTCGTCAAGAAAGAGAAACCAGATCTGGTCAGCAAACTGACAAAAAACCTCGGGTTTGTGTCTGAAATGCTTTGCACTCAGATAATCGATGTGAAGTGTATAAAATGAGCTGCGTGTGACACGTGTGTGTGTGTGTGTGTGTGTACGTGCTGCAGGTTCGCTATGGGCATTGAGTTCAGAGAAGGATCGCTCGTACTGAACGCCAAAAATCAGTTCAAACTCAAGAGAGGTGAGTGTCAAAATAAACCAGGGGCTGTTGTACACCATTTAGCATTACTGAATTAAAATATTAACAAAAATATTTTGCTCCTGTATTTAAATTGTATTAATTTACCTTAAAAGGAAGATTCATGATACTGTTTGAAAAGTATATTAATATAATATCAAAACCCTTCACTCTGAAACATGCAGCGTGTGTATATTTAATTCAGTCGCGGCCGTTGCGCTGTTAATAATCGCACTGAACCGTATCGTATAGTGTTCGTAACGGCTTGTGTGTTTGTGTAGGGATGGTGTTCAGCATCAGTCTGGGATTGGCTGACATGATCAACAAAGAGGGGAAGAAAGACGAGCAGAAAAAGTACGCCCTGTTCATCGGAGACACCATACAGATCAATGAGGTGCGTAACGGCTGGAAGCGGCCGGCTGTGAGTCCGTCTCTGTGAAACGCTGTTCAGTAATCCTGTGCTCGTGTTCGTGATCGCAGGAGGATCAAGCCACCGTCCTCACGCCCGTCAAGAAGAAGATCAAAAACGTTGGCATTTTCCTGAAGGTAACATCAGTCCGTCTCATGCCTGTTCAAAATCACACTGAACATAAGTGTATATTAAACACAAAATACATTAGATTTAATGCCTTTCAATACATATAATAATTTAATGCAAATTTTGGGATGTTGCATTAAAAAAATTCTGGATGAAGAGATGTGCGTAATATTTTAATGTGCATAAAAAAAAAGTATGTGCTCAATAAAAGCAGATACCTTTTTTACATTTTTTTTATTATCCAACATTTATTTGGTTGTAGTTCAGAAAAGAGAGAAAAAAAATAAACATATATATATATATATATATATATATATATATATATATATATATATACTGGTTTAAAAACAACATATTACATATATTTATATAGACATAAAAAAAACATTAATTGTTACTTGAAATAAAATAAATGTTAACTGAGATAAAATATAAAAAAAAACTTATTGTATTTCAGCTAGATAAATAAAATTTATTTAACTAAAACTGAAATAAACTTTAATAAAAACCTATATTGACAGTTTTAAAAAATAACTAAGAAAATGTAGCAAAAACTAAAAATTATATGGATTTATAAAAAAAAGCTAATAAAAATGACAAATAACACGCATTAAAAAAAAGTTAAAATAAAACGAAAATAATAATTCAAAATATAAAAAAAAAGATTTGCATTCAGTGATGTTATTGTAGTATTATTATTATGCAGTTGCAGAATTTTATTAATTTTTATTATTGCTAATGTTGCACCAGTTTCCCAGGAAGTGACAGTTTTGTTCTCTTGACCAAATGCAATGTAAACGGTAATTAATTTGCTTTTATTTTACATGATGTTCCGATTTTTCCCAATTTTAGATGAAAATAAGTCTGTGTAGAGGTCTCTAAACAAGATGGGAGAAATTTGGCTGCTAAACGGTTTTCTGTGTTTCTAGAACGCTGATGAAGAGGACGAGGAGGAAGAGGACGATAACGCGGAGGAGCTGCTGGGGAAAGGAGCTCGCGGCGCCGCCCTGCTCACAGACAGAACCAGGGTACCTGCATCCTTCCTGTTCTCTAATCGCCATAATGCACCCGTTTCATTCCTGCGTTCTCATGCGCTCTCATCCGATTGGTCAGAATGAGATGACGGCTGAGGAGAAGAGGCGGGCCCATCAGAGAGAGCTGGCCAATCAGGTGAACGAGGAGGCCAAGCGGCGTCTGACGGAGCAGAAGGGAGGACAGCAGATACAGAAGTACGAGGACGAGCGCGTTTGCGCCTCGCTCAGCTCAAGCGGTCGCGCTAGTTTGACGTAAACGCTCTCTTCTAACGTTTCCCCCTCAGAGCCAGAAAGTCGAACGTGTCGTATAAGAACGTCTCCCAGATGCCCCGCGAGAAGGACATCAGAGACATGAAGATCTTCATCGATAAGAAGTACGAGACGGTCGTCATGCCCGTGTTCGGCATCGCCACGCCGTTCCACATCGCCACCATCAAGGTAAAGGCATCGCGCCGCTCTTACGCTGAGCTGCTTCCTCGTCTCGCTCTTGAGTCTCTGTCGTGTGTTTGCAGAACATCAGCATGTCTGTGGAAGGAGATTACACGTATCTGAGGATAAACTTCTTCGTTCCGGGCAGCTCGCTGGGACGCCACGATGGGAACATCTTCCCCAACCCCGAGGCCACGTTTGTCAAAGAGATGTAAGCCTTCAAATCCATCACTGGGCTTCACAAACCAGCTCTGACGCATGCACTTCCCTGCAGCGGTGTGGCTTTCGTGTGCAATTTACACCGCTTTCTTTGATAAGCGTGTCATGAATAAACTACAGAAACGCTGTCGAATAGGCCACTGCAGACTAGGAGACTAATATGGCTAAAGCATGTTTTTAATGTACATTTTGTTGGATGTTGCATTTTTAAAAAATATTCTATTTTAGCTGCGTGCTGAGTGAAATTTTCATTTAGTTTAACAATTTTTTTATATATATATATATATATATATATATATATATATATATAATGTAATATAAAAAAAATAACTTAAAAATATTTTTTTCATTTTAAAAATATATAGACGTATTAAAAAAAAATAGCGATTTCTCATTTTTAATCAATATATTAATTTTTAATATTTTTACAAGAAATTATAGAAACATAATACTGTTATTAAAAAGTTGACATGAAAACAATTTAAATGATTTTTGCAACGTTTTTCAGTTCTGATTATTAAATAATTAATTAGATGAAAGTTAAATGGCATTCATTTTCGGCTGTTTTAACAACAACAAATTGTAGAAACAATTCTGTTAATAAAAAGTAAAATACAAAAAAGTTAATAATCTGCCAAATGTGCAATTTTAAATGATTTTTACGACTCAGTTTTTAAGTGTTGACTTAAATAATTTTGATTAATGAAATGGTTATAAAAACTTTTCTGTTTTTTTAAAAAGTGCATTTCAGTGTCAGCCAGAATTTATTTTGGTGCATCACAAATTTTATTTTTTGGTAATAAAGTGAGAGCAGATTTAGTTTGGATTTAGAGAAGCGTAACACTTTTTTATTATTTTTTTTGTGTGTGCATGTAGTCTAATTTAGGTATTTACTTTTCTATTTTTCACTTGTTTCTTGCCATGATATAACTGGAGCTGTAGCATGGTGCTAAATTATAAACACAAACAATAACTTCTCTTAACTTTCGCTCTGCAAAATAATCTGTTTGTGATTTACTTGCAATGCACTCGAGAAGAGATTAGATCCTCTCCATAAAGAAATCTGCCATGCAAATGGTTTTGGTCTGAACAGCTTTTGATTCAAATTCAGTAACATTGTTCATGTTTCACCCTAAATTACTGTTCTGTCATTTTCAGACCTGTAGGTTGAACAGTGCTTTTTTTTAAGGAAGCCTAAAGCGTTTTTGCGTGCTAACACTGTTCTTTTCAGTACGTACCGCGCGTCGAACCTCAAGTCGCCCGGCGATCACTCCGTTCCCTCCACCAACCTGCAGAACGCCTTCCGTATCATCAAAGAGGTGCAGAAGCGCTACAAGACCCGTTTTTTTAAATATTCTATTTTAGCTGCGTGCCGAGTGAAATTTTCATTGTTTAACGGAAAAAAAAAAAAATATATATATATATATATATATATATTTTTTTTTATATATATAAAAATATTAAATTTTTTAAATATTTAAAAAAAATGTATATAAAAAAAATAACTTAAAATATTTGTTCCGTTTAAAAAATATAGACATATTAAAAAAAATAGCGATTTCTCATTTTTAATCAATACTGATGTATTGTTGTTTTTTAACAATTATATACATTTTTTATATTTTTACAAAAAATTATAGAAACGTAATACTGTTATTAAAAAGTTGACATGAAAACAATTTAAATGATTTTTGCAACTCCATTTTTCAGTTCTGATTATTAAATAATTTTAATTAGATAAGTTAAAGAGCATTCGTTTTCGCCTGTTTTAACAACAAATTGTAGAAACAATTCTGTTAATAAAAAGTAAAATACAAAAAAGTTAATGAAATCTGCCAAATGTGCAATTTTAAATGATTTTTACGACTCAGTTTTTAAGTGTTGACTTAAATAATTTTGATTAATGAAATGGTTATAAAATAACTTTTGTTTTTTTAAAGTGCATTTCAGTGTCAGCCAGAATTTATTTTGGTGCATCACTAATTTTATTTTTTGGTAATAAAGTGAGAGCAGATTTAGTTTGGATTTAGAGAAGCGTAACACTTTTTTTTTTGTTTGTTTTTTTGTGTTTTTTTGTGTGTGTGCATGTAGTCTATAATTTAGGTATTTACTTTTCTATTTTTCACTTGTTTCTTGCCATGATATAACTGTGGAGCTGTAGCATGGTGCTAAATTATAAACCCAAACAATAACTTCTCTTAACTTTCGCTCTGCAAAATAATCTGTTTGTGATTTACTTGCAATGCACTCGAGAAGAGATTAGATCCTCTCCATAAAGAAATCTGCCATGCAAATGGTTTTGGTCTGAACAGCTTTTGATTCAAATTCATTTCACCAAGCCTGCATTTATTTGATCCAAAATACAGCAAAAGCAGTAATATTGTGAAATATTTTTACTATTTAAAAAAACTGCTTTCTATGTGAATATCTGTTAAGACGTAATTTATTTCTGTGTATTTTCAGCATCATTACTCCAGTCTTCAGTGTCACATGATCCTTCAGAAATCAGTATTTAATCTTTAAAACATTATTATCAATATTTAAAAGAGTTGAGTACTTTTTTTCAGGATTCTTTAATGAATAGAAAAATCCAAAGATCAGCATTTATCTGAAATAAAAAGCTTTTGTAACATTATACACTCTACCATTCAAAAGCTTGGAGTCAGTATAATATATATATATTTTTTTAGGAAAGAAATTATAGAAATTTATACTTCTATTTAGCAAAGATGCTTTAAATTGATCAAAAGTGATGATAAAGACATTTATAATATTACAAAAGGTTTCCGTTTCAGATAAATGCTGTTCTTCTGAACTTTCTATTCATCAAAGAAACCTGAAAAAATTCTTCTCTGCTGTTTAACAATAATAATAATAATAATAATCAGAAATGTTTCTCGAGCAGCAGAGCAGCATATTATACTGATTTCTGAAGATCATGTGACACTGAAGACTGGAGGAATGATGCTGAAAATACAGCTGCACATCACAGAAATACATTACACTTTAACAGAGATTTACAGAGAAAAGAGCTGTTTTAAATATAAAAAATATTTCACAATATTAGTGCTTTTGCTGTATTTCTGATCAAATAAATGCAGGCTTGGTGAGCTTACCGGTTTTCAAAACTTTTGACTGTTAGAGTGTGTATGTGTGTGTGTGTATGTATGTGTGTATATATATATATATAAATAATAAAATATGAATGTTAATCACAAACAGCTGACTCTGTGTGTGTGTGTGTGTGCAGGCTTGGTGAGCTTACCGGTTTTCAAAACTTTTGACTGTTAGAGTGTGTATGTGTGTGTGTGTATATATATATATATATATATATATAAATAATAAAATATGAATGTTAATCACAAACAGCTGACTCTGTGTGTGTCTCTCTCCAGGTTTCCGTTTCACGTCAGTACGCGGCGATAAAGTCGACATCCTTTACAACAACATCAAACACGCCATTTTCCAGCCCTGCGACGGAGAGATGATCATCGTGCTGCACTTCCACCTGAAGGTGTGCGACGAGCTTCTGTTCCCCGCAGAACATCGACTGACTTTAACGAAGTTCTCTGTCTGTCGTAGAACGCCATCATGTTCGGTAAGAAGCGTCACACGGACGTGCAGTTCTACACGGAGGTGGGCGAGATCACCACAGACCTGGGCAAACACCAGCACATGCACGACCGCGACGACCTCTACGCCGAACAGATGGAGCGAGAGATGCGACACAAACTCAAATCCGCCTTCAAGAACTTCATCGAGAAGGTCGAGTCGCTCACTAAGGAAGAGCTGGAGTTCGAGGTTCCTTTCAGAGATCTCGGGTGAGTGGATTAAGTTGCTCGCTGTCATGCGTTGTGATCAGTTTCGAATCGTAACCGCGTCAAACATGCTTGAATGTTTCCATACGCAAATAAGACCTCAATCAAAACAATGGCTGTCATTCACTATCAGTGCGGGAATTTGGTTGTCAAACTTTTTACAAATGATTCATTAATGTTGGTGCTAAAATTTATTCTAAATTTACGGAAAATATAAACAACTGAAACGCACAAATCTAATATTGTTCGATGCCTTATAAACATGAGATTTTATACATGGGCACTGAAGGCAAATGCAAGAGGAACGCTAAACTTGTGAAAACAGTTTTCTCAGTCATGCAAAATTTGAGCAAACAATGTTTTTTGGGGAAACACAGATGTTTTCAGAGCAAAAACAATTTCGCAAAGTTTCTTGGGGAAACAAGCTTTACAATTTAACGCAAAGTTAATGAAGAACACGGAAATGTTTGTGCTTATTTATTGTAAATTTACGAAAAATTTAGAAATAACTGAAAACCATAATCGCATTGTGCGATGCAAATGCTACCTTTTTTTAATTTTATTTTTTACGAATGAAGACAAAGTTTACAAGAGGAACGCAAAACAAAGTTTCTCGGTGATGCAAGGTTTTGTGAGCAAACAAAGTTTTTTTGGGGGAAATGCCGAAGTTTTGAGATCGTACACATTTTCGCAAAGTTTCTCGGGGAAACAAGCTTTGCGATTTAACGCAAAGTTAATCAAGAAGTTTCGCAAATGTACGGTGTTTCTTAAGGAAACACAAAGGTGTCGGCAAGCGAAAGCAGAGTTTCTTGGGGAAACAACAAGTTTTGCGAAGAATAAGTTTCTCGGTAACGTTTTGAGTTAACGCCATGTTTTTTGGTAAAATGCAAAAGTTGTGCAAGTGAACGCAATCTCACTGAAAGTTTTGCGAGGAAATGCTAAATTTCTCAGGGGAACAGAACTTTTGAGTATAAGCAAAGTTTATTTTCGGAAACGCAAAACTTAAGCAAACAAATTTTCACAAGTGAACGCAAAGGTTATTGCAACTATTACGTTCGCGTCTCGACGTTCGCGTCTCGACGTTCGCGTCTCGACGTTCGCGTCTCGACGTTCGCCCTCGACGTTCGCGTCTCGACGTTCGCCCTCGACGTTCGCCCTCGACGTTCGCGTCTCGACATTCGCGTCTCGACTATCGATGTCGACAATCGATGTCAAAGAAGCGAATCGACTTTCGTCGTCGACGTCCGCTTCTCGACTTTCGTACATTTACTATAAATGCAAACATTTAAGCGATCACAACTTTTCTTGGGGAAACGTGAAACTTTTGAGAACAAATTTCGCAAAGTGAAAGCAAAGTTTCTCAGTGAGTCAGGTCTAGCGAACAAATGCTAAGTTTATCGGGAATGCAGAAGTTTTGCAAGCGAACACAACTTATTGGGAGAAAGCAAAACTTTTGAGAGAGAATGCAAATGTTTCGCAAGTGAACGCAAAGTTTATCAGGGAGAATGGTGAAAGATAAAGAAAAGATTCTCAAACCCTCATACGATGTTGTGTTTTATGCTAAATGCTAACCTTGGGAGCGTGGTTGCTCATTTTAATTATGTTGGTTAGAGGTCAAGAACAGATTAATGTTGTCGTGAAAAAGCCAGAACGTTTTCGTCAAGCAGTTCTCCTGCGCTATTATTAGCAAATGTGACCCAATAGCTTTTCACCGAAGTTCTCCTGGTTTAAGTGCTCTGCAAGTAGTTGTTTCGTCGTCATGTGACATCTGTGTGTTTTTGTTTCAGATTCCAGGGCGCCCCCTACAGGAGCACCTGCCTGCTGCAGCCCACTTCCAGCGCCCTCAGTAATGTCACGGAGTGGGTGAGTATCTCGCCAACTTAGAAAATAAAAAAATAAATGATACCGCGCCACAAACACCCGTCCTTACGACCCGCTTCTCTCGCGCAGCCTCCGTTCGTGGTGACGCTCGACGAGGTGGAGCTGGTTCATTTCGAGCGAGTCCAGTTTCATCTGAAGAACTTCGACGTGGTCATCGTTTATAAGGACTACAACAAGAAAGTCACCATGATTAACGCCGTGCCCGTCAACTCTCTGGACCCCATCAAAGAGTGGCTCAAGTAAGCTGGCGTGCCGGCCGCACCGCTCTCGTCTGAGACGTTTACAGTGTGAGTGAACGTGTTGTGTGTCTGTGTGCAGCTCGTGCGATATCAAGTACACTGAAGGCGTACAGTCTCTGAACTGGACCAAGATCATGAAGACCATTGTGGATGATCCCGAGGGCTTTTTCGAGCAGGGCGGCTGGTCCTTCCTCGATCCGGAGAGTGAGGTAAGACGTCT